ACCATTTCAGAGATTAGCAGGAACAAACAGACCGACAGACAGACAGACAAAAATTATAAAAAATGTTATTTTGGTATATGTACCGTATTACAAACAGACACTCGCAATTTTATTTGTATGTATAGATTTACAACTATTCCAAAAAAATATGGTTCTAACAATACTGTACGACTGTAACTACTATATTTAACATTGTTTTGTTGGGGTGCTAGATTTTTTTCGGATTTATGTAATAGTTAGGGTTTTTTCACAATATATTGGTAGTCAGACGAGTATGCTTTTAGGATTTATTATTGTGTAATATATTTAATTGTATTTATTATAATATGTTGTATAATATTTAGAAGGATGGAAAGATAAAGTAAGAAATGAAGAAGTATTGCACAGGGTGAAAGAAAAGGCAGATATTGAATGCTATAGAAAGTAGAAGAGGAAAAATGTTAGGGCACTTGATACGGCACGATGAATTTATGAAACTAATTATTAAGGGAAAAATAGAAGGAATGAGGGGGAGAGGAAGATCAAGGCACATTTACATCAAACAAATTAAAGACAGAATTGGAGTCGTGTCGTAACAAGGCTCAAAGAGTATGATGGAAGATCGTAGAAAGTGGCAAGAGCTCCACCGACAAGAGCTTTGCTCTTAAATTTATGAATGAATATATTTTATTATTATATTAACACGTAAATCAAAAACTTTGTACCCCTTTTTACGAATTCAAGGACGGAGAAATAAGAAAATTCACGCACTTATAGTTTATATATATTTATATTTTTAAAAATATATTATAATATATTTTTAAAAATATGCGTAAAAATACATTAAAGCAATAATAAAAGTAAAAAATATTTTTGTTTATTTTTAAATGTTTGAATTTCGAACAATTGCTGACCACTAGTATACATATCATATATAATTTGACATACATAATATAGTTATAGACACACGGAATCTCATATACACTTATAGTTTATATAGAGAAGACGTGCAGAATGCTAATATATTTTAAAAAATATGCGTAAAAATACATTAAGGCAATAATAAAAGTAAAAAATATTTTTGTTTTTGTTTTAAATGTTTGAATTTCGAACAATTGGTGACCACTAGTATACATATCATAGTTACAGACATACGGAATCTCATATTTTCATGTCGGTTAAACACAAACGACTACTATACATTGCAGTGCGATTTCTCCTCGAGACACGCGCGTTATGTTTTATTCATTGCTGCACATGGAAAATATTTTTTTTTATAATAATAGGGTTGTCACTCCACTTATTTATTTTTATTTGAATGGTATGGCATAACGTTGTTGCCTCGATGACTGTATCGCTTGAAAATCGAAAATATTCCTGAACCATGGACTTTACGTCATGTAACACTCACGATATTCCTCGTGTGTATGTATATATTTATACTCAAAAGGAGTATTGAATATATTATATCGAAAGTCCATTAGAGTATATATAATCTTAAAAAAAACTCGTGAGTTTCCATTCCGGAGTGACTAAGTTGACGTGCTTCCGTAATTTTATTGACACATATAGTTTGTTTATATATACTTTATTAGTTTTAGGTACTCTCTTTTATTATTATATTGTAAACTCTATGAACATAGGGTAAGTATACCTATATGATTGCATAAATAAATATATAAAAAATACACTACAATACATATCAGTTTTAGTACCCCTATTAAAACTTTTAGAAAAGGGATTAGCACTGTGTGAATTGTCCTGGTTTATTTTTTATTATTAGTTTTTCTTTGTGACAACCCTAACACAATGCATATGCCAGTAATTACCGCACATCTATATGAGACTGTAATTGCAATTTTTCTCAGAAAAACATATTGAAGTCATTGACTTTTCAATTATAGCACTTGTCCTATTTTTAACCGACGTCAGTAAAAGAAGTAGGTTCTCAATTTGGTTGTATTTTTTACACTTGTTACTTTTTTAAGGGATTTGGTGAATTACTTATTGCTTAGACCTGAAGCACTGCGACCTGCAGAGATTTATTGTGCTCACCCTTTTAGAGTCAGCTACCTAGACCTGTTAGGGACAAGAAACTGCCAACAAACTGTTCTTCAGTTTGGCGAGTCAGCGTGTAAAAATAAATATACTTATGTTTATTAAATAAATAAAAAATAAGTATATACTTAAGAGCGATGGTTTTTATCTCCTCAGGATAGAATGTATAGTTTCCAAAGAAGATATTTCGTTTACGAGTGGGCTACCACATAGAATGTGCAGTGGCGTTTCCTCTTCCACTTGGCAAAATATGCAGTAAATTTGTTACCTTACAATTTCATCATTTTTTCCATGAAAAGTTATGCGTTCAGATTGGTACAATAGAAATGTCATCAAAATCGGTTAAGAAGTTTGAATTCGTGTAATGATGGTGAAATCGTAGTAAAATTACGTAAATAATGTACCATAACTGTTTTTGTTTACCATTAAATTTGGGGTATTTTTGTGGTAAATGATTAACCATTTGCTCTACAGAACAATCGTTTCGAATTGTCACTCGTACATATATACGACCTTTTCTAACACATTAATTTGTTCATAAGTTAAAGTATGACAGATGTAGCGTTTTTACTGTTTTTTTTTTAGGATTTTATCACAGACCAAGTAAGTTAAGTTATGTGTGAATTATCTAAAAAAAATATTAATATTCCGACTTTAATCTTAACAATTTAAAGTGGATTTTAAGATTCTATAGCAACGGGCTGGAATCCAAATATATATAACTCAAAGGTGACTGACTGACATAGTGATCTATCAGCGCACAGCCCAAACCACTGGACGGATCGGGCTGAAATTTGGCATGCAGGTAGATGTTATGACGTAGGCATCCGCTAAGAAAGGATTTTGATTAATTCGGGTAGAATCCAAGGGGATGAAAGTTTATATGAAACTCTGTCAATTTAAAACCGATCGGGCTGAGACTTTGCATGCATAAAGCTACTATGACGTAGGCATCCCCTAAGAAAGGATTTTGATAAATTCCACCCCTAAGGGCATAAATTAACGCGAGCGAAGCCGCGGGCAAAAGCTAGTATATCTTATGTTAGTTATTGTTCTTCGAAAGTTTATGTTAAAAATTGTGCTCGATTTTTGAATTGGTCGGTATAGAGCATATTTAAATATCGAATATTACTGTGATGTACACAATCCCAACAGGCTTGCGTCACTCAGTGCAAAATAAAACTTATTTTATACTGTGTGACCAATATATTTAGAACGTCATATTTGCAAGTAATTGTTTGCATAGATCTACGTTGTTAATGATGGCTTTCGATATTTGAATTGGTTGGTATAGAACAAATTTAAAATCGAACATTACATCAAATGTTAAAATCATTGAGTACACAATAACATTTCTATTAAAGATATATATTTGAATAATTGTTTGTATGAATTCATTTTGAAGGTTTTGTCGTCATATTGTAAGTCCATAGATCTACGTTGTTAAAATGGCTTTCGATATTTGAATTGGTTGGTATAGAACAAATTTAAAATCGAACATTACATCAAATGTGACGTGCACACGATCCCAAGAGGCTTGCATCATTGAGTACACAATAACATTTCTATTAAAGTATACAACCGATATATTTGTGAGTAATTGTTTGTATGAATTCATTTTGAAGGTTTTTTCCTCATATTGTAAGTCCGTCATAATGAAAATAAATATTTTTTTGTGCGTAACTATGCAATATCTTCTTTTTTATAAGTATTACATATTGCACAGATTTAATTTATTTCTTTGGTTTTTTGCGTCACAGAGAAAGGCACAAGAACTCAGCTCATACAGCCTTTCTCTTGGGTAGTATTCTGATATTAAATTTCCTTCGATTTATTGTCTTCACAATTCATATCTCTTAAAATTTTAATATTACATAGACAAATAGACATTAAGTTTCTATGTTCTTCGTAAATTCTGTATGGAGTGGAGGAGTCAGATTCAGTGTTTTGATTTTCATAAGGGAGGTGTCATTTCTTATAGAAAGAATGGTTAATTGGTCTGTGATTCTACTTGGTAGGTTACAACAGTTGCAGTGTGGCATTAGGTTAATAATACAGGTTTCTTGGCTATGCGTGCGCCTAACGTATCGTGATACATAGATAGGGTTGTCAACATCGGAAAATATCGATACATTGTAATAAGGGACATTACTACTAAAATATACATATGACACGATTTGATAGATTAATAGGTCTTTTATAGGAATGGGTATATAGTTTTAACAGAAACAGAAATATACCATAGAATATTCTGGAGTTAGTTTTTTATAAATTTACCCGGCAAAATTGGCCCCGCAAACGTTGTTTTGCCTTATAAATCAGTTATTAACCGATGAGAGTAGAAAATCATTAAAGTACTATCGTCGTTAAAAAATAGTGGTTATGTAATTTTAATCTCGAATCATGAAAAAATAATTGATCCAAATGTTATTTTTTTTTATGATGTGCCATTAAAAATACACTTTTAAATTTTCATCCTTTTAATCGAATCGAAGAATCGAACCCGCGACCATCGGAAGTAAGGCCTACTAAACCGCTAGACTACCGAGGCCGTCAAAGTTAGGTAAAAGTAAGCTTCGCAACCTAGTGTCATTTTTTTTTTTTTTGATGAGATGGGATGAACATGAGGTCAGGTCAGTTAGCCCATCGTGACAAATTCACCAGGAATATATCACGATGGTTTCCAGGGGGAACCGCGTAGTATTAGACAAGCTAGAGTTAGCATAAGTGTATTTAATCAGAGCTACATAAACAAAGATATTATGAATTGAATTGATTTTTGAGGAGGCTAAAATTAGTCAGGCTCGCAGACTAGTGTCTGACCACAAGTATCTTCCATCTTTTTACGAATTTCAATATCTAACAGTTCCCAACGTCAATCATTCTACAATTAAATTGTATATCATAACAACACATTGTATATTCACATCATATTGACGTGATAAATTTTCTTCTCATTTCAGATTTTCTTTTAAAATCACCGTGCGAAGACGCAGGACAAAAGGCGACGCGGTTATGTTCATCTCGGAAAATAACACAATGACTCAATCTCACGCGCGATCCCACAAGCTGAATAGTTAGAAAATATCATAAAAAGCCGTCATCGAAAAAAAAAACGGCCATAAACAAACGATGTGATGTAACGCCATCTAGCGAGCGCTCGTCGAACTTCAAGTGAAAGTGGTTCGAATCTTCTGTCAAGATGAAGCTCAATTTGTTCAAGCGGTCGATGATCTTTGCGACGTTCTTCGGTTCCTGTTTATGCATAGCTTTGATTATCGCGTCGTTGGGTACCACCCACTGGATAGATGCGAGGGCGCGCAGGACATCGAATCCTCTGGAGTCGGATGGGAGAATCAGTTTTGGGTTGTTCGAAGGGCACAAGGAGATTACCTTCGGCGGATATGGGTGGCGGAAGTATTATTTTAGTGGTGAGTTTTATTTGTAACTATCTGATATCGATACCCCGTCCAATTCATTGAGATTGAAATACGACAGCCTGAGCCGAGGTTCGAACCCCCAGCGGTGCCCTCAGACTAGAGTCGTATCCGTCAGGTAGAAGTTGGCCTTTAGCCGCTTCATAAGTCCTTCCGCAGGTTTGGAGTGCCATCTGTACTCGCCCCTATCGTCCGGTGAAACTTTAAAGGTCATTTGTACTACAAACAGCCAAAAATTGTAAACACGTGAAATGCATAGACATTACTCAGAATAATATAATAATAACTTTTTATTGGGCATAGATAACAATAATTTTTTCAAACAGCCAAAAATGTAAATTTATTCATTACAGACAGAAATGCATACAGTAAAATATTACATGCAAATTTTATTAATAAACCTAATAATTACATATATTAATATCTACATTATAATAATAATAAATTTAACTATTTATAATTGAAATAATCGTCCAGAGAGTAAAAACAGTGTGTCAACAGATTTGGTTAATTTTTTTTAAAATTATATTCTATTAGATCTATATATATTTTGTATAGTAAAATACATTTTTTTTAAATAGAGTTAAGTTACTTTTGGGCAACACTAACTTAATTTTTCTGGAGGATCTTACATTATTTTTTATTTGACAGTGGGATGTAAACATAGATAAATTCTGTTTTACAAACTAACATATTTAAAATATGGTCAGATTAGATATCACGTCAGCCGAATATTACTATCAGCGCCGCAATACATCAGGCATCTGAGTGCAGCAGATGACGACAGCTGGTCGACAAAATAGTATAGAGTCACGATCCTCAATAGTGAGGGAACGATTAAGAAGAATAAGATACTAAAGTAGTTAGTGCGTAATGTTTGTATAATGCCATTTTGTTTGTGTAACGCGGCACAATTTTATTCCATGCCGGAGTAAAGGGGGACCCTAAGGTCCCAACCAGCTATTGATAGCATAGATATCAGTGTTATTGGTATAATGTCCGCAGTATAGACTGGCAGGCACACAGCCCGACGCTAGACCATGTGTCGCGGCGCGGCGCAATTCAATTTAGAGTTAACATTATATTTTCCGAAGGCTGATGCCGGGTCAAAGGAGCCCCGAAGCCCCAACCTGCAACTTCTGATTTTATGACAACAGTTTGACTTAGGGACTACGAGGCCCCAACCTGTTATTGATAGCATACATAACAGTTTCACTTGTAATGTTCACAGTAACGAAATTAAATTTTAAGACTTTTAACCCTGTAATTGATGCCGATACAAAGGGGCCCCGAGGTCCCAACCTGCTATTGATAGCATGAGTAACAGTATTATTGGTGTAAGGACCGGCACGGTTAGACCATGTGTCGCGTCGCAGCGCAATTTTATTTTTATATTTCCAACGAATAGGAGGCTGTTAATCCTATTCCCAGTTTTTGATGCCGAGACAAAGGGACTCCAAGGTCTCAACCTGCTATTGATAACATAGATAACAGTGTTATTGGTGTAACCCCCGCAGTAAAGACTGGCACGCACCCGGCGCGGCGGTGGGCGTGGTGCGGCGCGGCGGCGCAGCTGGCGGCGGCGTTCGTGTCGTCGGCGGGGGCGTGCGTGCTGGCAGCGCTGGCCTCCGCCGCCAGGGCGCGCTGCTCGCCCCATCCCATGCTCATCGCCAACTCACTAGCTGGTAATATTAAAAAAAGATACTTTCTACATATTTAATAACATGACGCTAATAATGTATCCAATAAACATTAAAATGAAGTGTTATACTTTTAAAAGACGAATTTCTTAGCATTGTATGGATTTCGGGTGCTGAGTCTATGGAGAGGGACACTCCAAATGGTTTTCGAGACGAGACCCGCATCAGCGCTCGTGTTTCTCTCCCTGCCCAGACAAGTCTGGTCAGCCAGCTAGTACAGCTTTAAACATACGTTCTAGTATTAGTAGAATTTACTGGAATTCTAAACAGGCCATGATCTTTAACAAGATTGCAGAGACTTTGCTGTTATACTTCTATTTATTATTATTGTTATTATTACAGTGCTATTCACCCTGGGAGCAATAGCAGTATGGCTGACAGAGTTTTACCTGAGGCTCCAACACAATGTCATGTCGGACGAAGATCGCAAGTTGCATTGGTCTTCGGAGGGGATGGCCGATGTGGGGCTTACTTTCTGGTGAGCATATAATTCATCTTTATTATCTCCTCTTATCAATCCTCAGTCCGATTCAAACGGGGATAATTAACCGGTTTTCGATATATAAAGCTTATAAACACAAATACTGAAGTTATATTATATATGTCGTAGCAGATGCAGTCACGTAGGCTTTTAGAATAGTTATGTTAGGTACTCTGACGTCACTTGCGACCTTATCCTCCCCTATTCTCGACCAACATGGTTAAGAATATCTCAATTGTTTAACTCGTAGGTTATTATAATGAAACAAACTTAATGTAAGCACGTTTGAATAGTTATTGTATTTGTGATTCTACCACTCATTCGGAACGCAGATTCATCACAAGAATGAGCAAGAAACTTGTGTGTTGTTCTTTTAATTAACTATTATTATTATTTCTAAGCAGACATGACTTACAAAGTCATGTGAGCCAGGTACAAACCTGGCTCCACGGTGACTCAGTCACTCCGTAACTGTGTAACTCTGTAAGATGGTAACTCAGTAACTGACCACCTCAACCGTGTTCGGGTACAAGAAGACTTTGCTTATCCCCTCCTAGAGGGCGCTAGTGTGCTGACCAATCAGAGCGAATGCTTACAGTTTAACAACTCTTTATGATTATAGATTTCGTAATTACCTAATTGCTTCAGAATTATAATAAGCCGAGCTTGTTATAACTCTCTAAAATACTATTCAGAATGATAGTTATTAAATTGCATGTTTTTGTTATTATAATTAGGGTTTATGTTAACGATGTTGTCAGTCAATTGACAGCCCTAATTTCTGTAATAAATTATGGCAGACAATTGAATGCCTTATTATTCGATCTAAAATTATTAATTCAAATTAATCATAATGGTTTCTATAAATATTAATTCTACAATTACATTTCACAGTAATAGCAAATATTATAATTGTAATTAAAACTCTTATTTTCAAAGATTTTGGGACAGTACAATTCCCGAATCATGCCAGCGCCGATATATACATAACTGCACTATTAGCTTTTTCATAAATCAAATTTCGAACTGCCGCAATAGGAACCGCCAATAGGCAGCGCTCTAATTTAAAAAAGTAAAAAGGCGGGAAAGCAAGTGTGCTTTATCAGTTTTAATTTATTTAAAATTAAGTAAGTGTGTTGAAAAACTTACGGTATCCTACCTCGCCTATGCCTCGGGCTGACACCTCGTGTATACACCATCATAACGCACTTATATATTTTTTTTTAATTTTATTTAGGATCACCAACAATTGTCACAATTATACAATTAATTTAATTACATGTTGATGAACACGGCATGCAAAATAATATACAAAAGTTATATATAAAAAAAAACTTAATTTAACTGTTTCTTTTATCTTATGAATTATGCTTATTATCTATTACTTATATATATATATAGGTATATGTTACTATTCCAATGGAGATATTAAATGGTTATATATTTTTTTTTATATGCACGGATTGCGTCGAAGTGTAAGTCTAGGATGTCACTTATCGTAATATATTATTATTTTCAGGTTGGTGGTGGCAGCGGCTGTGACCGCCTTCATTAATGATGTGTGCATCCTTGTAGCGATGTCAGACAGCCGAGACGTGGACACTATAGCTCCGGCTTTGGAAGAGAAAGTCAATGGAGCTATTATGTTGTATTAGAACGATACAGTAAGACTTATATTCAAGAATAAGTATTAACATTATTTTGTATTAATGCGTTATAGACTTATATTCAACATAAATATGTTATGTTGTATTAATGTTATAATAAGTATTGTATTCAACATAAGTGTCAGCGACATGTTGTTTGTTTAGTGCGTTAAGTTAAGATTTGTATTCAACATAAACATTATGTTGTAATAATGCGTTGTAATTCAACATAACTTATAAGTATTATTGTCTATAGAATTATTTGACTAATCCAATATTGGTATATTAGAGGTCAATAAGTATTTACGTTTAATTATAAATCTTTAACTACTGGCTTTATTATTTTAGGTTTTCTTCACTGTTGAAGTGATATAGTTGACAGTTTTAGGGTAGGCTGATATGTACTGATGTTTGCACAAAAGTCCTTAAAACTTAACTGCATTAAAAAAATGTTTTCGTACTACTTAATACTAGATATGTATGTTTATTCAATAACTAATGCGATTAGTTGCAACTTCACAAATCATACTAACATTATAAACCCTAAAGTTTTTGAAGGTGATGTAATTATTCACAAAGAAACTACTATAGCGATTTCAAGGAAATTTGATATATAGATACATCGTCTTATTTATAATCTATGCTAAGTTGCGTGCAACACTAGTTTTGAAGGCTGAAGTTTATTGTAGGGTATACAATTATGAATAAAACTTAATGTTTATGCTTTTTTACGTTACTACAAGCATAGAGTAATAGATAAATTCTTTTTTTTTATTTTAGTGTTTTTCCAAATTATTTCAAATAAATTAAGTACATATAAGTAAGCATAAGTAAACATACTAGTGTTGAAAGTAATCTGAACATTCCATGTAAGTTATATTTAATTAATTTGAATCTCAAATATAGGTTGACAATGTATGGATTCAACATGCCGTCCAATTTATGTAATAATGTTTATATGTAGTAATAATATTAATTATAAATAAAATTTGATACATACTTATGAAGGTGTAGCGATGTTTATTATCTCACTGTAGTGCAGTACATGTTATATATGAGGTGTTGCTACATAATTAATTTGTTTTCTACAGTATCTAGGTAGTGAGTATAGGTGTAATAATTGAATTACGCGTAAACCGTTAGCGCAGGATGCGCCTGCGCTAACGATTTACACTGGCGTCAGTTAGCCCATCGCAGTAAATTCATCATAAATTTGTCATGATGGTTTCCATAGGGAATCCTATGGAGGTCAATTTGATATGGCACATTGCTAGCACTGGAGTTAAAGGATACAACGATCTTAATAAATTGTGCAATGACGCACTTATTCCAAATAAAAGATTTCTTCTAATCAAATTTTGGTTAAATTTTAAACCAATGTCAAACTACGACTCTTCGTCTAACTTAAGAATTGAAACCATCTATTTGTTTAAGTACATATGTTTCCGTCCAATTTATAAATCAAACATCACTATATTCACTTTATTAATGTTGTGGATAATCTTAATAATTAATATTGAATAGTAATAAGCAAAATTTGTATACGTATGAATTTAAAGCACTGTCAAATCAGGCGAAAAACCGTTTTTACGTACATTGTTGAGGTAAATTTCCATTCCGGGTCGTCCGCTGGTCCTCTATGGACCGGCGGGTACGGGCCTCGAGCTGAGCTCTTTACCCGAGCGTACTGCTGCGGTGTACCACCCCAACGTCGTTCTTTCGGCTTCCCGGCAGCCGGCTGAGGGAATCGTGTGACGGGCTTCATATTATGTCGCTCGCCGAGCCAGCTTAACGCCGCCACGGCACGTAAGTGACGCAATCACTTACGTGTTGAGGTAAAATGAGGTATTTAAACAGCCTGAGTTATAGCTGGCCCACGGATGTTCGAACAACTAACGGATCCTCACTCTTAAAGGCGTATTGTGTATGTATTTACATAAAAAATGTTGCCTCAAATCGGTCTTATTGGTATGCTTACTTCTACAAGTTATGTTTAATATATCAAAGTAGTTAATTACGTAAAATTAGAATGTATTTTCCGTCCAAAGTCTAATATAGATATATTCATCAGTTTACATAATAATATAGTTGTGCCATTAGTGTAAGGTTTTATTTTCCAATTATATTTATACGCTCTCTTTACACTTTTGTGACATTTTTTTCTGAAATAAACTTATTCATTTCATTTAAGCAGTTTAATTTATGTTTGCGCCATTTATAAATATAACAAGTGGTATGGTATTATTCCCCATATCCTATTCCCATTCCCGCGCACAGTATGTCAACTGAGGTCGCCTGACGACCTCGTCTACTAACGTGAATAGTGACATCTCGTCCCAACCGCTCCGCTTTAAATTAATTAATATAATATATTGACATTAAAAATAAGTAACTTTGTGTGCGTGCCTGTGTTAAACTTAGTATTCATCGAGTGCAGCAGCTGTGCAAGAATACACCCGCTCTACAGTCGCAGGTACGTACTGTGCAACCCCTTTATTTCATTCCATATAGTCCACTTACCATATCCGCTATCCCCCATTTCTCCAATTTACTTGTAAAGTGTAAGGAAATTTTTGGATTACAGGGTTTGTTTCGAAATATATTGTCATGATTTAATATCTTCACGATATATACTATAGCTTATGGGACAGAACTGAACTGATTGAAGAAAAAGCAATAAAAAAAGTTTTAAATTTCTTGGTTTAAAAATGACGATACTTCCAAACAACTTTTCATCTCCCCTTTCAGCTCCTTCCAATCCATTTTGCGTATTAAAAAGTCTATGTCGTTTCTAAGGGTCTAGACTACCTGTGTACCAAATTTCATTTAAATCGGTTCAGTAGTTCTGTCGTGAAAGCACGACAGTCAGACATACAGATAGATTTCCCTTTGCATTTATAACATTAGTAAGGATTATATATGTAAGTGCAATAAAGAGTATACATATAATATGTTTTTTATTCTACCGCTCATTTGGAAAGCACACTCATCAGAAGAACTAACAAGACTCTTAGGTATAGCTTTTAAGTAGATACAGCATTACATATCTAGGATTTTGTGTGAACACAAAAAGTATAGTAACCCACACCAATATATCCCGGCTTCGCAGATGCATTACAATTCTTTTAATTTCTCAACTTGTTCTATTTTGTAATACGCATGTATTATACACATAATATAAACTTTTTTCTTGTATCCATCTTGATTTCCAGGGACATGCGTCGTCCTGATGGGGTATATTTTTAGCATTATAGTCACTAGTCGTTATCATTGTTAATATAAACTATTGGTTTAGAATAGAATAGAAAATTCTCTATTCAAATAGCCTTAGGTACGTTTAAGCACGTTTATTATCACTTTTTAATCTACCACCTATTCGTAGAGCTGTCTAATCACAAGAAGAATAAGCAAGAAACTTCCATGTTGCTCTTTTTAATAATTTAGTTCTAATTTTACATTTTTAAGTTTAATTATATGAATACAAAACAACCAACTAGTTGAATAACTAAATACGAGTAAATCAGTCAATTAGAGCAGACCAGGTCCCAATAATCTAAATATATATAACTCAAAGGTGACTGACGTAGTGATCTATCAACGCACAGCCCAAACCACTGGACGGATCGGCCTGAAATTTCGCATACAGGTAGATGTTATGACGTAGACAGCCGCTAAGAAAGGATTTTTATTAATTCTACCAAGGGGATAAAAGAGGGCTTTGTATTAAACTGTCAATTTTAAAGCGATCGGGCTGAGATTTTGCATGCATAAAGCTACTATGACATAGGCATCCCCTAAGAAAGGATTTTGATAAATTCCACGCGTTCATTCAAAACGAGGCAAAAGCTAGTTCATTATAAGAGTAAAAATATTAAAAAAACAAACAACTGGTTGAGTACCTAAATAAGAGTAAATCAGTCGTAGTGAATTGAGCAGACCAGTTCTTATAAGTAGCGCTCGTTCACGAGTATGATGGATATGTGTTTTCTATTTCTGTTGACAAGACTATTTAAAGAGCAAATGACTATAACAATTAAATATAGCAGATATTGATATGATTACGGAGGAGATGAGGCCCTTAGTACTCTGAAACGGCAACGCATGAATCTACATCACCATTATCGAAAGCCAGCCATCACTACGCTCGACCATATTGTAGTTTGGGAGTTGTCCAACATTTACTTATTCACTGGTGAACCTATGTGCTATACTCTTGTTACACGGTGGCATATAAATTGACACAGATGTACGTAACCACAAACAAAATATATCTATACTTACCTAGTATATTTCCGTCTACGAAATCTTGTTATATCAGCAAACAAGCACGCTGCGATCATAGTATTTTATAATAGCGAGTTATTGCTTTAAGAATTGTTATTCCAGATGGTAGATACAGGCATTGCCAATTTCTTCGACGTGATGATATACCTAACATTTGATAGCTTGATATTTTGCTGTATGTATTTAAATGGATCCTGAAAGGAGGCGGGCCTATACACTAACTTGTTTTGTTGTTATTATTTCTGTGGCGCGGTGGTTACCTCACCGCTATAACGTTATGCATGATGTGACGAAATGTCGCTGGTAAATTTATTTATATTTAATCGAATTTAGTTATTTTGCGGAAGTCCATTTCACTACTTGATGGAAACATATTATTTTTTTTTTTTTTATATAAAATTTGAGCGCGTTTGACCGCAATCTCACCTGATGTTAAGTGATGATGTGGTCTAAGGACTTAAATAATGCCTATTCAGACTTCAAAGACCCAATGTTGTAAGATGGAAAAATAGACGCTGGTAGAGAGTTCCACTCCTTAGCTGCTCGCATAAGGAAAGATGATGCAAAACAATTAGTTCAGCAGCTGTTGTTATTCTTGTTGTACGTTGAAAATATAAATAAATGTTTAATAATATAAATCCATAAGTAGTTAATTTATTATTGCTGTGTGACCTTAGGGTTTGGTTAGAACACGATTTACCGGATCTGAATTCTGGCTATGCTGGTATGAGTTTTGGGTCTATGATAGGAGTAGGACAGTTAAGAAGCATTCTCTCAGAGTTGAATGTGTGGCATAATAAGGATATAATAGGTCTGTATTTTAGATGTGACGAAATGTCGCTAGTTAAT